AGAACTTGCCTCATGTTACAGTCAGGTAGTGCAAGGCCAACATTCAAAACCAGGCAATCGCTTTGTTCGTGTGTTACAACCTCTGCCCTTAGTGTGGCCTACTTCTGCCCCCTACGGCAGCATTCCATCTGGCCTCTCCTGCATGGGCCCTTCATCCATCCTCCCTTCCCACCTTACCCACCCGGTACAATGCTCTTCCAGTGAATGAAAGTAGTTATGCTTAAAAATGCCTACTGGCTCCCTACTGCCCATGAGATAAACTCCATACTCCTCTGGCATTCAGAGCTCTTCCTAATCTGGCCTAACCCACAGCTCCAACCTCATCTTCCAGCAGCTCATCCCGTGCTGGTCCTCTCACTGTTCTGCAAAGCTGCACCCTGTTTCAATAGCAAGTCTTCACTGTCTCCTATGCTAGAACATTGTTGCCATGTCTTTCTGCCAAAGTCTGACTTTTTCTTTGCTACTCCCTTCCAACACCATCTCTGTGTACTTTCATGAGGCAGTGTCCCAGAGCTCAGCACTCTTACGTCTCTTACAGAGTCCACTGTGAATATTGCAATTTATCTTCTTTCAAATAACATCCTCTATCTAGCACTTAAGAATGACTAATTATTCAAGGAATGAATGGATGGCCCCAGACATGGCCCGCTAGATCCTTCTGTCTCTGCCCCTTCACGTCAAATGGTTCTTTCATGGGATCACACGTGATCATAAAGGTTGGAAAGGGTCCCTGGAATCTATTTCCCCTGACTTCCTACAGCTCAGGGTGTCTCTCTTCCCCAGTTATTGTCAAAGGAAAAAAAAAGTACAAGGAGAGTGAAAGAATCCAACTAACCAGTCAGAACATGGCATAATAAAAATGATGGCACCATAGCACACAGACTGTAAAGGGCCATAGATACCATCTCATCTACATGTTTTCATTTCATTCATGAGGAAACTAAGGCCCAGGAAGAAGAGGTTTGCATAAGAGCAGCAGCAAGTGAGGGGCAAACAGTGTGGGAACCCAGGACTTCTGAGACTCTATCCAGGGACTTGGCTGTTTCCTGTTGCTTCTCAACTCTCTCATGTGCCCTGGGGATGAAGGGGCTTCAGGGTTTTTTACCTTCCCCACAGTTATCCCCAGCACAAGCTCAGACTGTGTTTCTGAGTCTGGGAAGTAAAGAGGCATGACGGGGAAACATTGCATGAGGGTTGGATGACCCAACGTTCCTTGTTCACACAACCTTAGGGTTGTTGTTCACCTAGCACCTAGCTGCAGTTCCCAGTTACACTAGCTAGCCTGCGGCTTTCAACAGGAGCCCTCTTAAGGGCCATGGTTCTTCCTTTGCTCTCCTGTGTCTTCCAACCCCTCATCTGTGTCTGATCCAAGCAGTTCCTCCACAGTCGTACTTTCCTCTCCTCCCCACTCCCTCTGCCTCCCACTTCCTTCCACTTAGTCACAGTGAAGTCACACTCAGAATCCCCTCCCAGGCCTCTCCCCAAGAAGTGTTTGTGTATGTACCAGAAGATGAAATTGAAAGACCGCAGAGGAGGACACCGAGAGGCATCATGGGAAAAGTGGGCTCTGGAGTCACAGAAACGTGAGTTCAAATCTTGGCCCTGTCAGTTGTGTGACCTTCGTCAAGTTACTAAATCTCTCACATCCCTGCTGAAAAAGGCAGGGCTGTCAGGGAGGCAGTTTCCTCACCTGTAAAATAGGAATAGTTACATAGTTACCTCCTGGTGTACAGTGAGAATTAAGTGAGATAAAGTGCATTGAGTGTCTGTTTTCCTTGCTGTGAAGCATGAGATGTGACTGCCAAGCAGAGGCCTGGGTGGCACCTGTAGTCCTGCAGGTGAGTTGGTGTGGAGGTGAGTGTGTGGGCATGGGTATCTGATGGCCTCTGAGGGAGAGTCAGAGGGTGAGGAGTGGAGCCTTAGGAAGGCTGTGGATATGCTTGCACATAAGAAGAGCTCCTACCAGGTGTGTGAGTGTGACCAAGCTGAGTGTCTCTCCTTCCAAACCCCTCCACCAATCACAGAACTACTGGGTCTGTCTTGGCAGCCATGAGAAATCCAAACCCCTCCTGGGGTGGGGCTGAGGGAATAACCCACCCTACAAGGCTTATGCAAGGGAAACAAGCCAAAGTGAGCCTATCCCAGAGTCAAGCTGGTGGGGAACTGTATTCCAAAAGATGTCCAAAGGGTCAGGGGTCTTCCTGTAGCCTGCCCAGAGCCAGAGAGCTTGTCCCTAGCCTTGTAAACCACCATACACATTTCTCAAGCTTTGGACAGATCACAGAGGCAGCCAAACTCACCAAGCCTGTGGAGCTGGCTGCCTTCCAGCAGGCTGGCATGGTCACATCTTAGAGTGGGGCAGCCTCCTCCTTGCTGTTCTCATCCAAGGCCCAGGGCAGTGAGAAGTAGTCCCTGAGGTGGTGTCGGTAGGGGAGGTCATGAGGGCAGAAGCATAGGGCACAGTCCACAACCCCACCTGCTTGGCACCCTGCTACAGGTACAGAGCCCTGGGAGCACACCTCTATCTTTCTACTCTTGAGACAAACCTGGCCAAACTATATCTTAGATAAAAATCTGTCTCCCATCAAAAGACCTTGAGTGGGAAGCTGATTCTATAGCGTCCCTCCCTTGGTAGTTGTTCTAGGATTTTAAAAACTGCATCGACTGGCAGTCCTTCCTCTTAGCTAGTCTAGATCTTGTTTAATAAAGCCTATCTCAGTGGATTCAGGGAAGGAGGGAGGAATGGGGGGTGGTCTTCATCTGCGGGCAAATTTCTCAGCTTTCCTGATGAGCAAAATCATAAAATTTGCCTACCAAGAAGGTTTTGGCTTAGGGCTCAAGATTATTCCTCTCTCTGACTGTGAAGGATGTGCCCAGAGTTAATGGCCTTTTAGGCCATTTTAATTAATTTCCCATTAGGAAATAGTAGTAGCTTCAGATCATTCTACAGATAAAGGAGGAAAAGAATATATGCATATCTGTCTGCATTTCATCTCCATCACAAGCTTCAACCCAGACCCAAACTCAGAACAGCAGAGCATAGGGAAGGAATCCTAGAGATGAGGCAGTGCGCCCCATGTTGGGATTTGGCTCCCTCCCACTTGCTGTCTTCTCCAACCCACTCTTCCTTGCTTGACAAAACCCTCTTCACCCTTCAGAGCTACGCTCAGGTAGCCACCTCCTCCACAAAGCCTGCTCTGAGTTCTCAGGAAGAATCGATCTCTCCCATTTTTGTTAGATGCCATACTTTTTACACACCTGAACCAAGCAGAAATGAGACTTACTCACTTACTACTCTCTTGGTGCCCACCACCCGCCTCCGCCATATATATGTCTATATATGTGGACTTCAGGCTTCCTCAGTACAGAGACTGTGTCTTAATTTCCTGTGTTCCCATATCTGGCATAAAGTAGGTGCCCCTCCCCCATTTATTAACTTTTCAGCTGAAAAATACTCAGGCCAAAAGCATTAAACCAAAACTATACAGCTAGTTAGTGGCAGAAAGTGAAGCAAAATGCAGGCTTTCTGACTTTGTACCTAATTCTCTCCCCTCTGCCTCACTCTAAGGCCCCCATTATTGCTTCCTGCTTCCTCCCCAGCTTACACTTTCTTCTCCTGCAAACTCCCCCACTCCTACCTGTTGCTCTGACTGTGCACCCTGTTTTATCTCCCACCTCTTAGGTTTCCCATCAGCTTGAAACTGCGAGGGGGGGAAATCCTCTCCCTGTGCCTCACCCTTTTTTTCACTCATCCCCAATCTGAAATCTTTCTAATACCACCTTCCCCTGCCCAAGGCCTACCTAACTCACTCTAACCTCACTGTGGTGGATTGGCAACTGGTGGTCAACTTGTAACACCCAGCTAAACTGAATCAGTGTGGTTCTGGGCATGGAGGGCCCAGCTGAGGATTGTTGCGAACGACATAGAAAGGGGATCTGGGAAGGAAGAGATGGTACTGTTGGTTCTCCTGGAGAAGCTTGTCGTTCTGGCTTTCCTGATATGAACTTTGTTGTTTTCATCATGGGAGGAGCTTGGGACCTCACTGTTGCTGAGGATGGCTGTGGTTCTTTTTGGGGGAGTGCTGGTCCTTCCTTTTTGTATCGCTTCCTGGCTCCAGTGAAGATCCCTCAGCCTGCTGGCACAGATCCTTCATCATGCTGGCACAGACATTCTAGCTTCTACCACTGACCTTTGGGCCTTTCCAGCACAGATCCATGAGACAGATTTGCATGAGACGTTGTCATGGGCTCCAGGCCTCTGGTTGAATTCATGGCGGGCATTGTCATGGGCTCTAGGTCTTCAGCTTCATGCAGGACATTGTTGTGGGATCCAGACCCTCAGCTGGACTCTTAGGGTCTTAGTGTGTGGACAGATTTCCTGCACTCTTTTGTACTTGACTCTTTGGTGACTACTATAAAATAATCCTATAAGTTATGTGTCCTGTATTAAATTATTTCCCTTGCAAACCCTACTACAACATTCACCCAACTCAATTGCTTTTTCGTTGTCCCCCTAGCCTGGTTAGTGCTCTTTCCTTAGCTCTTCTGTTGTCCTTGTCATGGTCCCTATCAACTTTCTTTCACTTAGGAGCTCCCTAAAAAACCCAGGCATAATGTCCTTGGTGATGCTATAGATTACTCTGCACGTAGTCCACACCCCAGACTCACTAAGATGTAATTGGGCTAAACTTGGGCAGAAAGTGCTGCCATCTTAGGTTTCTGGACTACGTGTGCCACGTAGGACTACTTGTGGCATGCATCTCCTGCTAAACAGCTCCTCCATTTGTCAGCACTCTGAAGTAATCTGTGGGGATTCTGAAGAGGAGACCCCAACACTGGATCATAGTTGGGGTGAGAGGCTGGATCCAGGGTCCTTTACTCCAGAAAGCTAGATGCCTATGAGTAATCACCCCCAAATTGTACTTAATATTCTTGGTATTCCCACACACATAACACTTCCAAAATTGATAAGATAAAGGTTTCTTCTGACCCGTTCTTACCTGTCTGTTGAAATCTAGGCCATTCCGATCATTTCCTGGAAGACATAACAAATATAGACACATAAGTTGCTTGTAGGACTGGAAGAGGATGCTGTTCAGAAGAAAAACAGGACGTTGAGAAGAGCATGTCTTTGTTCCAAAAAAGGTACATCGGCTTCCCCTAATGCTTTGATCCTCCCGCTCCCCCTGCTTTCTGGAAATATCTTGGGACAGTCTCCCCAAGGGAGGTAGACAGCCAGTGAAGGAGTTTCCTTAGAAGGCAAGCTGGATTGGACAAGGTCACACAGCAAGTCAGAGTCTTTGAGAGGAGAGGTGGCCACAGCAGCCAGAGGGCTCCTTCCCTGAACGCTTCATCCCGTGCCGCAGCTGCCCTCTGCAGCAGGCAGCTTACACCCCCCATGGGTGAGCATGAAATTGGCCGTGGATCCTAAAGGCATTGTCTTAAGGTAAGATGATCCCCCTTAGCCCAGCCCTCTGGAGGTGATGACACCCAAATCGAATCAGACTTACGGGTATCTGTCTTAGTCCCTTCCCACACACTTTATTACTTGTTTGTTCATCTTTTTCCTTTTATAGTAAATGTTATGCTGAAAAAGGAAATATGCACTTAATAGAAAAACTTTGAGGTACAGAAAATGTCTAAAGTAATAGAAAAGAGGCAACCATAACAGCATGGTTATATATTTATAGTCTTTTTTTATGCTTGTTGCTCTTCATGGACATATACCATTCTGTATAGTTTTTCACCCTGCTTGCTCTTTTTATGGTGCTGGAGACTGAACCAGGGGTCTCCACATATTAGTCAAGCACTGGACCACTGGGGTACAGCCCCAGCCCTTTTAGTTCTTTGTTTCCTTTTTTTTCTTACGGTGCTGGGGACTGAACCCAGGGCCTTATACTTGCAAAGCAAGAGCTCTACCACTGAGCCACATCTCTAGCCCCCATAGTTTTTAAATTTTGAAACAGGGTCTCACTAAGTTTCCCAGGCTGGCCTGGAACCTGTGATCCCTCTTTCCTCACCCTCCAGAGTATGGGATTACAGGTATGCACCACTATGCCTGGCTTTACCTTACTATTTCCAGGGAGCCCATCACAAATTTCTCTTAAGGAAAATGAGTATTTTTCCTGTGTTCACAAGCCTCATTTTAATTGCTATGTAATATTCTTTTATATGATTGCATGATGATTTGCTTAAATATGTATCTATTGCAGGTGGAATTGTTTCCATTTTTGGCAGTAATAAGTTTCCTATTCATATAGCTCTCCAGGGCAAGAGCTGCTGTACAAAGTTCCCCTGGGCAATGGATTATTGGCTCAATAACAGCAAGGGAAGTGGCTACTTATTAAATATAGTACACTCAGAGCCTATCACTGTGCTTTGCATGTAAGACCATTTCAAAATATATTGATTGAATGAATGAATGAATGAATGAATTTAGAACTCACAGTAGCCTCGAATAAAAGTTCCTTCACACAACATATAGTTCCCCATTTGTCCTGTTTGCTGTCTATGTTTCCTGCTGTGTTTCTTGCTGCTCATGCTCTTACTTATGCCTTCCTTGTATCCCAAGCTCTGGCCACACAAAATACTTGCTCATGTCCACACATTATCATGCCCCATGCATGGTGTCCTTGCACAAGGTCAGTTCCTTTTCCCTCTAGGTTCCAGGAGCCCTCTCTGCTGGCCACGGGGCATCACTGTATAACTCCCTATTCCTCTGTATGTTCTTCACTCCCACTAGCCTGTGAATTTCTTTGAACTGAATGGTGACATCCATTTTTTTGTGTCCTTAATGGCCACAAAGGGACCACAGTTCCTGACACAGATCCGAGGCTCAAGAGGTACCTGAGAGGTGAGAGGAAATCCTCTGGGGTTTTAATGTAAGCCTCCATTCCTCTGCTCTGTTTCAGATGATGACAGGGAAGCACAGCCCTGTCCTGTGTGCTTGTAGGCATCTCTGAGAGCAATACGGCCAGCAAGATGGGAGCAGCAGAAGATAAAGAGCCATGGGCCCCCAGAAGGAATATGCTGGGGCCCGAATTAAGCTCCAGCGGAAGCTGATGTTGAGATCAGCTAAGACAGTACATAAAATATGCGAAGGGAGGTGAAGTCAGGAAGGGCCCTCACACTCAAACATTTGTGCGTGAAGGGTAGAGTGAAGGGTAAAGTTACTTATCTCATTAAAAGAAATCCATCTGTGACACTGTCAAATTGGCCTAACAAGAAGTAACTTTTAAAGATGTGAAAAAAGAGCAAATTCATTAATTCCACAAGTATTTGCTGAGCACATGCACTGCCAGGCACTGTTTTGGCTACTGGGAATATAATGTGGGAGATGACATAAGTTCCTGGCCTCATGGAACTTCTTTTCTTGATGAGGAGACATAAAAGGAATAAGTAAACAAATCTATAACATAATTTCACGTAGAGATGATTACTCTGCAGAATGATAAGACATAGTAGGGTGGGGAGAATTCCAAAGCTGGATAAGGGGCTGGGGACGTGGCTCAGTGGTATAGCACTTGCCTAGCATGCATGAGACCTTGTTTCATTACCAGGAGATAAAAAAAAAAAAGAGAGAGAAGGATCATAAAGGTCACTCAAGGGAGGTAACATTTGCACTGAATGGAGTAGGTTCTCCACCTTTCAGAGCTCTCGCAGAAGATCAGTCCAGACAAAAGTGCTGAGATAGAAGCAGGCTTGCATGCCAAGGAGCAATGGTAGTGAGTTCAGTGTGGCTGAGGAGAAGTAGCAGGAGTGAAGTGATACAAGATCATGGTGATGACAGCAGCTCACACCCCAGGGAAGATGGGGAGTGCTTTGAGGATTTGAGCAGAGGAATAACATGGTCTGACTCAGGTCTTTGTCCAGCAGTGATTGGCAAGTGGGGGAAGGGAGGAGCAAGAGAGCAGGATGGGAGAAGAGCACAGAGGGGGCTGCAATGGCCCAGGCGAGAGAGGGCTGCAGGCAGGGAAGAAAGGTGGCAGTGAAAGCTCATTTGAGTACACTTCTGACAGTACTGATGGATGGGTCTCGAAGTACAAAGAGAAGAAGGAGTCAAGATGATTCCCAGGGTATGGGTTTTCTCAGTGGAATGAGAGGACCCAGAGAAGGTCAGGCTGGTGGTAGAAAATAAAAAGTGATGTTTTGGATATGACTGAGATCTTAATTAGCTATCCCAGTAGAGGTGGGGAAATGAGCTGGACTCAGAAGTGTTAGGTCAGGAAGTAGGAACTGGGCTATCAGCTCTCAGGTGGCGTTGAAAGTCACAGGACTGAGTGAGGTCACAAAGGAACTGGTGCCAGACAAAGACAAAAGGGTCAAGATTGGGGTGAGGAGTTGGCACATGAGTCTGGGAAATGTGAGTGCTCAAGAAGGAAGATGGGGCAAATGTAGTCTCATGAAAATAAGAGATGGTGTTTCTCAAGGGGTGATCATAAACCCATGAGGGAGACCTAGAAAAGAAAACACTGGGGAGCAAAACACCAGTTTGACGTGGAGAGATCATCAAGTTTGTTGGCAATTAAAAATCACTTACTTTCTGTGAGTGACTTGATTTCTGCAAATGCTATTAGGATGTCGTTTGTGAGAGCCAAAGTACAAAATGGAAAATGGTGAACAAGCAGAATGCAGAGATTACTTTTGAAACTCACTGGGCAACAAAATGAACTTTCTTTCACCTACGAGCTCTCTGTGGCCCTTCTCAAGAGGCCGCTTACCTGCTGTGCTCAGAACCTGATGGTGGATGGAATTTCCCTTTCTCCCCTAACTTATTCTTCCCTACGTTGCAAACTCAAATTTTCCTTATTCCTAGGGTTAACTGAATGGCTGGAATGGAGATTCTGGAGGCAGCCAGGGCCTTCCGAGAAACTGGCCTCTGGATGACCCAGGAGAGCAGAAAGTAGACACAGTCAGCCCACTGGCACTTAATAGGGCTCAACTGCCCAAAGCCGCTCCTATTCTAATTCCCCTGCAAAGCAAGTAAGCATGTCCTTGGGGACATGTTTTCCCTCATAGTGGCTGCTAGCTCTTGAGAAGGTGCTTGGACCACGTAGAGGTCTAGTTCAAGATATAGTAACACACCCAATAAAGACCTTAAGTTCATATCTGATGACGTGGCCATCTTTCCAGATCTGGCTGAGGGAAGCCGCCTCAATTCTCATTTCACTGCTACACTTATTCCTGCTCCTTTTCCTTAGTCCACTGGACTTGCTTCACCTGGCACCTCTTACCACCCAGCCCACAAGAAAGCCTCAGAGGTGGCACTTGTAATCTGTGGGCTGTGACCTGGCTCAGTCACTGCCCTGGTGCTCCAGATGAAGGTGACTGGTGAGACATTTCTCGAACACTGAGGAAGGTGCATTCCTTCCTCAGAGAAAAGAAGGGGAGCCATTATCATAATGTGCTAAATACTAGTCCATGATCACCGGAAATGGCTTCTACTCTTTAAGATGCTTTTCATTCCCTTAGGTATGGAGGAGGAGTCCGAGATGTGATGTGAGGAGTAGGGATCAAACCCATGCATGTTCTATCTATCACCCCCACCCTGTGTGACCTAGGTCAAAACAGGGATCTCCTGAAGTCTCAACCCTTTCAGTGGCAAAATTAAGTCATATTTCTGTTCCATGGTCTTCCCAACGATACAGTGAGACTTGAACAAGATAGAGCTGGTGACCATGCTTTGCCAGTTGGGAAGCACAGTACAATTGTAGAGCTGGACTCCAGGCATCCTGGGCCATTTCCCAAATAGGTGGAGTCTGGACTTATGGTAGGGATTTTGCATATGTTGTTCTCTCAGATGGAAATGTCCCTCTGTTATCCTTTTTACTAGAAAGCACCTACTTATCTTTCAAGATCCAGCTCAGATGTTACATCCTTGGTGAAGCTTTTCCAAAGCAAATTACAGGATCTGTTCCTCTGCATTTCCTCATCTCTCATTTATATCTTCTGTAGCATTCCACATACCTAGAGACAGGCCTGTGGTTTGTTTGTTTCCCTCATGAGATTGTGACCTCCCAGAGTTCAAGTTATATAGTCTTATTCATCTTGGTACCCTGAGTGCCTACCATAGTGCCTGGCACATAGTAGGTGCTGGATGACCACGTGCTTAGTTGACCTGAATTACTAAGAAATATGTTACAAAAACTAACCAGTGTTAAGCCCTAAGGAATCACA